AATAAATCAGCAATCATCCAATCAATCATCTATAAAAAGCGAAATAAAAAGGCAAGCAGTAATCCTCAGCGCACTAAAGCACAAAGGTGTGCAAAACAGTTTCAATTGCCCAACTAATTGTGTTCGAAGCAGTTTGCTTTTGCAAAATCTTCACAAGGTACGTAGTTATCAAATTGACTCATAATAATTAAAATCTTCATGTGTTAACTTCGGGTCAATCAATTTTTAGGCGTTAATGTAATCAGAACATTAGAGTGACAATCTTAATGCGTTTATATAGTAAGGGAAAAATTCAGAGATGTACCTACCCACACCGAGCTTCTACAGTCTTCAAAAATGTACTACATTTTCCTTGAGCTATGTCTATTACAATTTGTAGTTCACGATCCATTCACGAAGTACATATACTTAAAACTAAACTAAAGAATGCTATTTTATTTATCATTTTAGTTTTATATACTTGAAGGGAGATATATTATGTTATTTTCAGATGTAGGTACTTCCTCTTTCACTCACATAACCATTTGACTTTAATTTTAAAATATTTTTCTATTTTTAAAATGAAATTTAATGATTTAAAGGCGTACAAATTATTTGTATCTATTAGTACAACCCAATGCTGTATATTAGTTATTGTCTTTTTATCTCTTATGAGAAAACAATCAGCTTGAGAGCGATTCTGAAAATTTTTCCACCCAAACATTACTTCATCCCACGATACACATAAAACGGTATGCCAATTATTGGTCTTAAATCGGTCGGTGTGGCGCATGACATCACATGCGAAGCTCGGCAGATAAACGGCTCGAAATTCTATGCATTCTAATGCACTAGTTGCACGTGTTTATTTTTGTTAGTTTATATATAGGAAACGTAATAGTAGACGATATACTTTTATGTAAACATGCCGGGTTGTGCTGTAGCTAAATGTGGAAACTATAGGTAATAAGAAAAGCACCAGAAGATTTTACCATTTCATACAGGAATATTGCTCACTAGCAGATCCTTGACGCAAATGTTTGAATATTTATATAAAAAGTACATTGTAGAATATATTTTAACTTATCGTCTTAACCAAGATGTGCTGGAAAACTTTGTTCATACATTTGTGGTATGGGAGGAGCAAATGACTACTCTTCTCCCCTTGACTTTAAACATCGTATGAGATGGTTTATATTAGGAAAACATTATGCCGCAATATTTACAGAAAACAGATTTACGGAAGAAAGTACTGAGCGAAGTGATGAAGATATTTGTTTAACTCTAATCAATATTTTCTAATGTAATCAAAAATGAACCGTTGGTTGAACAAAAGCAAGATTATTTTGGAAAAGATATTGTTTGTAATTCGTTTGTGCACCCACAATACTCGGAAGAGTAGATGAACTTATCGATAAAGTCAATTAATTTGAGATAAAAGAAATAATAAATTTTGAATCTCTAAAGTACATAGCGGAATATGTGGCGTACAGGTACAGGGACAAATATTCTTTGAGTATTCCTACAATTAATCACGAGCTGCAACATAGAAATGTACTTAATTAGTTGCAGACTATTTCGAGAGAGTTTTTGATGGAACTAACTAACGATTTATTTAACGCAGCTCAGGTTCTGACGCTGAGTTTTTTGACTTGCATAAACACTTCTTAAGTAATAAAAAAATCATATGTCTGAAATTGACACAGAGAACTATGAAGACGGTAGAAAATGCGTTAGTTCCGCTTGAAGTAATTCTCTGCCTGAGTCGAACTATACTATACTAACTAACGAAGAATAAGTTTCCAAAAATGTAAAAAGAAGTTAGCAAAAAAATGGTTAAGTTTTCTAATTATAAAAAATAAATTAGAATTGTATTATGTATGTATGTACAATATTGTATGTATAGTTTTTGCATGTATATTGTATATACTTATGAACAGAATTTTCTCATACTCTTTCAGTCAAAATTCTTCTATGACAACTGTAAAATTAGATTTTAAAACTAAATGATGGATTAAGTTTGTTTGTCAAGTATATGTATCTAAAATACGTAGATATTACATTTATTTGTTTTAATATAGTCCAACCCCAAAATTTTAAGTTTTGCGAGACATTCCAGTTAAGAAAGTCACTCTAGCAAATAATCTGCGATATTTTAATGCATAAGTGTAGTATATCACCATTTCATTGTATTTCAAAAATGTATTAGACATGTCAGTACATCTAATATGTATGTAGTTATGTATATCAAATAGACAAAAATCATTTAAATCGCATAAAATATACAGTTGTGTATGAGCATCGTATGATACTGATAATATTGGTCGAATTTTCCTCGCATGTGACGTCACACGGCCGGCTGCACCCGGAGCTTCATGCGCATTGGCATACCATTATAAGTGTATCGTGCTTCATCCCCAAATTAGAAGGAGAATCACGCACACGAATTTTATTTACAACAATTGAATACCTCAAGCGCTTTACTAATTTATTCACTCATAATCAAGTTGTTTTGCCAAACAGTGGCTTTCCTTTGATGGTTAAGTCAATAAACACAACTAACTATATTGGAGTGATAAGAATATTATCGTTACCTATAAAGGTGTTACACAGCGATCAGAAAACAATTAACGTTTAAGTTGGTGATAAACTAAAAATGCAATTATTTAACTGATGCTTACAGGAGAAAACATTTTAAATTTTAATTATATTAAGCTCAGCTTCAAGTTCCTAGCAATAAATACTCAATTATTTAAATGGCCACTGGCACTGGACAAAGTAAATCTGCTCATTTCGTTTTAAAAGTGATAGTCAATTTTAAAGGGCAATGCTCTTTTTAATAAAATGATTTTTTTCAATTAAATTCTGTAATGAATGTTTAAAATGTTGGGTCCGGAAGTTCTACCGCCGAGCGAGTATTCCAGAACATTTTAGGTTAGGACTGTATACAGGGTGGTCCTCAACTCATGTCCAAAAATTCACTCCCATTTTGTTTAGGCAAAAATATTGTGTTTTAAGTAAATTAGTATTATCCGAAAGTTAATAATAAAAATTTCGTTTTTCGGAATAGATTTTTAATCAGTTTTACTAGTACCACAAAATTTTGTTCTTGGGTTTTTTAGATCGGAAAATCCAAATTTCTTATTGATTGGCTTGCAGTTTCTAGATAGGGGCTAGCTGCAATGGCCTGGGGCCATTTAAAACATCTGAACTTTTTTGGGTTTTATCATATTTCTTTTTTGTTTGCCATATCTGGTTCTACAATATTTGCCAAACTAAAATTGTGTACTTGATTCAAGTCAATACCTGCCACCATTTTCAAGATATTTCATATTGAAACATCTAGTCATTTTTTGAACTAGCTCAAACTAGATCCCTAATATTGTCGTAAATTGACTTATATTATTTTAAAGTAGGTCTGAATGCGCCTAAATAAATACTGACTAATGTTTGTTAAGTTTTGTTTAATAGAAAATTTGGGTAAAAAAATCTTTTATTTAGACATATTTGAGATAGATTTCCAATTAGTCCAAAAAATCACTATATGTTTCAATGTGAAATATCTCGTTAACGGTGAGAGATATCGACTTCAAACAAGTATACATATTATGTTGCAAAAATATCGAAAAATGTGATTTTCGCAACCGTATGACGATATTTAAAGGCCAAAAAACCGTTCTGACGTGCTAAATGGCTCCAGACTATTGCAGCTAGCGCCCTCTAGAAACTACAGGCCAACCAATATGGAATTTGGATTTGCAGATCTAAAAAACCCCCAAACAAAATTTGTTGTGATTCTAGTAAAACTGGTTAAAAGTCTATTCAGAAAAAGTGAAAGTTTTATTTACACTTTGACACTCTGTACCTTGGAATCTATTAACTTTCAGATAAGAGAAATTTGCCTGAAACGCAATATTTTTGCCTAAACAATATGTTACTGAATTTTTGGACATAAGTTGAGGACCACCCTATATACAGTGGTTGTTTGTTTAACTATTAGTCTATTGCTTCCAAACCCATTAATTGGTACCGCTACGAACCTGAGCGATGGATTGTGTGTCATTTACGCTCATGGCCCACGTTTCGCCTGCTTATATTATAATCGGTCCTAAGATGGTTTTGTGTAGAGTAATTTTTTATTTCATACTCTGGCTTTTATACTTTAAGAAAGGTTTCAGTGCGACGTGACATTTTCTTCCTTGGGATACGATCTTCTAGCTTTTCATGTGTGTATTTTTACCCACTGTTATCGTTGGCCCCTGATAGTTGAATGCTGTAAGCGGTCACCTGCGGGGTTCTTGTTGAATTTATACATGTTATTTTCTGCTGAAAGTACTATATTATTCGCTTCCTTTCCAGTGCTCACAATTTCGTCTTTACGTTCTCTGTGCTACTTCCGACCACATCAAGATAGTCCTCGTATGCAAGTAACGGACTTGGGCCTTGCAGTCCAAATATGTCTGTTCTTCTCGTTGTTATTCTTGCGGTGTTTTACAGAGCAATATTGAACAGAACTGTAGGCAGCGCGACTCCCTGTTTTAGACCCGTATTGATATAAAACGAGTCGCTGTACTCATATTTTATCTTGATGCAGCTTCGGGAGCCCTCTATCGGTTTTGGTCATACGCATTAGATTGTTGGCTTTTCCAAGCTCTATCGTTGCATTACATACTCTAATGATGATGTCATATGCTTGTTGGACGTTGACGAAGAGGAAAACATGTTCAGTGCCCGCTCAATAATAGTTTCAGGCTCCAACTGAATTAATAGTCGGCACTAGCTACAAACCCCCGATAATAAACCGATAAAGTTACTCATGTGTCTGAAAACTCGTTGATGCACAAAGGTGTCACGGAAGCAACAGAAATAAAATAAGAATCAAATTGTTCCCAGCGTAAAGAATGCAGAAATAACGACAGGCACAAAGCCTATTAGTGCCTTACTGAAAAGCACATGCCCATGTGCAGATGTCGGCGGCACTATTAATTAAATATCTGCAATGTTTGTTGCATATCTCTCAATTAAGATACTGAGAAACATAAGCTTGAAGAATGACAAACCGTTTTTAAGAACTAATTTTATTATTAAATAATTGTTACCAGTGTACTTAGGCGTGCTTGAATGAACATGTTTAGTGTCCGTTCAATAATAATTTCAGGCTCTACCTGAATTAATAGTCGGCACTAGCTATAAACCCCCGATAATAAACCGATAACATTACACATATGGTTGAAAACTCGTTGGTGCACGAAAGTGTCACGGAATCAGCAGAAGTAAAATAAAAATCAAATTGTGACCAACGTAAAGAATGCGGAAATAACGACAGGTACAAAGCCTATTAGTGCCTTACTGAAAAGCACATGCTCATTTGTCGGCGGCACATTAATTGCATATCTGCAATTTTTGTTGCATATTTGTCTGTTAAGATACTGAGACACATTAGTTTGAAGAATGACAAACCGTTTCTAAGAACTAATTTTATTACTAAATAAGTGTTACCAGTGTACTTAAGCGTGGTTGAACTCCGACTGACTTTAACATGATTTGAGTGCTATGAGAAAGACATGATGATTGGCAGTATTCCTTGGCTGCTGATGCGGAGGAATCCATGGGAACTGGTCATATAACTCATGTCTTTTATCAACTGAGTACCAATATAGCAGTAAAACGAATTCATTAGTTCTAATGTGGTAAAACATTGAAAACGTCGAGCAAGTATTTAGGGGAAATATCTAGCCATGAGTGAGGGGTTTATCGAAATGGACTGAAGAGCTACAGTTTTTTTTACCACAGCAAACATTTGTTTATGATTATTTCATAGAGCTCTCATATGACGTAAGTGACGAATTAAAAAAATGGAGTGCCTCGGGACAAGGCAGATGAAAATAAAGAATGAATGTGATGACGAAATGTTGAATAGTAATTTCATTGAATCCAAATATTCAAGCCCCTTTATTTAAAAAGTTGTTTATGGAAAGGATATATATTTAACGCGGACGATTAAATAATAAGTTAAATACTGGTAGTTTTGCAGCAAATGATGAACATTCTGGGTGGTAAAACCTGGAGACAAGGGAGAGTTATTATTCGCCTCTGATAAAACTTGTTTCATTCATATACTACATTGTTCTATTAACGGACTTGTTTAGCCACATCTCTTCTCGTACTGAGTAAACGTTACAACTGCTTAGCAGTTTGAGGGGTCAGTTTAGCTGAATATATCAATTAACTACATATAATAAAATATATAATTTGCCAAATAAAAATGTAGACAATTTGAAAAAGGAATCGTACATATCAGATTATGAAGCTGTGCTTCGGCTAAGTCCATGAGTGGTAATATTTTCTGACATAGCGCCATTGTATGCCATAAGTTATGTCAGGCCTAACGACCCGCACTTGACTTGTTTATGGCGCCAAACTTGTCTATGACACCCTTAACGTGAAGTCCCATCCCTTGGTTCCCATGAACTGAACACTTACTTGTTCAAGTAACCAACCAATAACCAGATGAATGTTTGGCAGTAGGTTAAGGCTAGGATTTCGTTTACATTTTTAAGGGTAGCTTTTAAGTCAGGCAGTCAGCTGAAAACCACCAAAGAGTTTGGTACATAAAAATTGTTACCAGTCAACTTTGTAATTTTAAATAAATATTTTAAAAACAAAGTCTCGGCCATGGATCGTTAACTCATATGAGGATATGAAGAATTAATGAAGAGTAGCCAGATAAAGTGGTTTCTTATTATTATTATTGTTATTATTACAAAGTGTAATGCTTAGTGATGCTTCAAATTTATCATATTCGGTGGGAAAAACAATCAACACGCGACATAAGAGCAAAAGAAAAAATTGCATGTTAAGGAACACTGTGACGTTGTTATCTCAGATCCTACGTACTAAAGAGTATCACTTACTCGTTAAAGATTTCCAATTTCCTGTTTGCACAAAAGATAGAAATTTCAAAAATTTTAACGACAAATTTTAACAATAGCCTCTTTAAATCAATTAAATAATTATGCTTAGATATACTTGAACTCAATTTACAGCAAGTAGTAGATTTATCAAATATTTTTAAGAGGTTGATTTTTTTAAGTATGATAATAACAATAATGCAACTGTCCTGCTTAATTGTCAATAGATTTTCTCAACAGATGCAGTTCTTAATAGCGCTAACAAAGATGCGTTTATGTGAAATATTTATTTTGTTTTTATATGTACTTGCAATTTTGAAACAAACATAAAAGTTCTGTTCTTATCTCTAAGTCAATCTGAGGTGATGTGAACTGAGAATATTTGTTTTGTTTGCTGAATCGTTAACTGTTTGTTCGAATGATTGAATAGATTAATTAAACTCAGTTTAACACGTGCAAATTATGTTATAAATATGTCATATCTGAAATATTTGAAATGCTTTTTCTTAATGAATTTGCGTAAATATACAAACCTTTGATTTAACGATAAGTGACATGAGAAAAGCAGATTATTAAAAAGGAAATATTAATATACTGTTTTAGCATAACGTTCATTCAGTATACTTTTGTTCTTCTGGTGATTTACTTCAAAACGTTCATAGTGGTATTTGTTATGGAGAGTGATGTTGGGCATACAATTCCAGCACCTGGAGCTGCAGAATATTTAGGTAAGCAATTTTTTTAAATGAAGATTAAAAATGTAGATTATAGATTTTGTAAAACTTGAGGATATCAAGTAGAAAAATATCGTAACTACAAACTAGGTTTGTATAATTTGATGTTGATTTGAGCTTTTCCTCAAAATCACTGCCGCAAAGCTTATTGATTTTGCTTGTGGATGAAACGTTACTTATACTGCATTACACATATGTCAATTAATATTAATATTCGATTATTTTAGCTGCCGCTCGAGTGTCACTTACATACAGGGATAAACTTGCTTCGCTAGATGGTACAATTCAAAACAAACCTACTGATTCAGAAAAAGGTAATCGCCATGTGGCAAGACTTATTTAATTTTACATTCGCACTTATTTTTAATATACGTGATATCTTCGTGTCGTCGAGCCATTACCGCAGTACCTACTGCATATTTGAATTATTCGATTCGCGAATGCAAACTATAGGTGAACAAATCCGCAAATGAAACGTTTCCAGTTTTTTCAGTTTTACGAGGTGGGGCAGCCTAAGGAAATCGACTGGTCACTATATCTAAATTAAAGCTTCCTTTGGAACGGCTATTACCGTATTGAGATCAAAAAATTAGTAGAAACGGGCCGCCCCGGGAAAAAAGTGAAACTACACGCAAAGTATTTCACCTTTTATTTTAACAGTCACGGTCCGAATGGGAGGGCTTTCAAGGGGACAGTGCTAAACTTGCAGCAAGTAATTTGAACTACGTCGGTTTAAAAGCCATAAAAAAGGCCACCAGTTTTAGTCATTATTGGCGTAACAGCAATGTAGGTATGCGAAATATTTCGATCCTTGAGTTTACGGAACCAGTTCCAAAAATATCTACATGAGGAATTACGTATATCGAACAACGAAGACACTTTTTTTAAATATTTATTTTCTTAATACAACTTGTCAGTCTGAAAGTTAGAGCAAGAATGAATTTATACAACGGTTATATTCTTCTTCGTCTTATTCTCCATTCGTGATTTTAGGCGAATCGCTCGTTCCATTATCGTTCACTTGCGTGAGGCTGCCGCACCATCGTTTCCTGGGGCGCTCAAAGTCTCTTCGTCTCAATGGGGATACTCTAAGTCTGCGGTGGTCCGCAGTCAATTCATTACCGTTTTCAAAATTTAAGTACCCGACTTGGTTCCTGAAATATCCTGAAAAGACAAGAAATCAACACTTTTTTAATTATCACTTATTAGGTAAATTGCTTAACTTAGAAAAAAAGTTAAAACTGCCCTCAGTACAACTTTTTGCGTCGAATCCAATAAACTAGCACTCGTTTTCATAGTCAACTTAATTTACGAGATAAAAAATAAACTTACGGTTTTTTAAAATTGTAATCATAGTTGGCCATGGGCATTTTAAAATCCTTATATTTTTCTGAATTTAACGATATAATTGTATGATTTTCTCCTTTTGTTGCCGTAAAACTTCAAAAGAAGGTGAAAAATGTGTAGGAGGCTATGGAAACAAGAACTATATTATCACACAAAGCACAAAACAATAATAAATCGTTTAAATTAAATGTTCAAATTGACTTCCGTTTACGTCCAGGCATTTTTTGGCATCTTCACATTCAACTCGTGAGTTATGTGAAGGTGCACTATCATGTTGAAAATATGCCAATTTTCGATACAATGCTAACGAAAAACTATTCAACATGCCTTCAAGTTCATTTGGTAAAAAGTGTAAATACCTTTCCATATTTAAATTGTGATTATAAAAGAATATACCAATAATTTTATCAGTAAAAATGCCTTACCAGACATTCACGAAAAAACGCTCGCCTTTTTTTTAGCCCAGTAAACATGATTGTATCTGTTAATTATTTCATTTTGGTTTTGTGCTTTGTGTGATAATATAGTTCTTGTTTCCATAGCCTACTACACATTTTTTATCTTCTTTTGAAGTTTTACGCGAACAAAAGGAGAAAAACATACAAACAGTTATATCGTTAAATTCAGAAAAAAATAAGGATTGTAAAAGACCCACAGCCAACTATGATTACCATTTAAAAAAACATAGGTTTATTTTTTATCTCGTAAATCAAGTTGACTATGACGAGTGCTAGTTTATTGAATTCAACGAAAAAGGTTCTACCAAAGACAATTTTAACTTTTTTTCTAATTCAGCAGTTTACGAACTATATGATAATTAAAAAGTGTTGATTTCTTGCCGTTTCAGGATATTTCAGAAACCAAGTCGGGTACCTAAATTTTGAAAACGATAATGAATAGGCAATCGAATTCTGCTCAATTTTGCCCATTTAACGGATTCTCTATCTTTAAAAATGTAGAAGTTAGCCATACAAAGATTCAGAAAATGGCCACCCTGTATATGTTCTCTATGGTTTTAATGAGATTGTGAGATTTGCCTGTTGCAAAGGAGATGCAAGACGTCTTTCAGCTGGACACGGTCAAATGCTCTAGTTAGATCAACAAAACATATAAAAGCTGACTTGTTATATTTAATCGACTTCTTGACTATTTGCCTTAATTTCGTATTAAGTGCAAACTGAAAAAAAAACTGCAAGCGAGTATATTTAAAAAATATTCACAGCAAAAAAGCTGTTAATCCGATTTTGATGAAACTTGGCTACTTACATTTTTAATAAATGCCCTTTTCATGATAGTGTCAGATTATTTTTATTGGTGTCTAGTATTGCATGGTAACAGTCCACTTCGATTTTTCTTATGGACGCCATATTGACTTTTATCGTACTAAATAGAGAAACAAATTAGCTTTTTAATGGGGTAATACACGTGGGTAAAAAATGTCATATTACACTTGCAAATATATTTGATAATTTTTCAATGGAATCAAGTCTTTATTGGAAATAATTATCTATTTCATACAAAACCGGCTTTATTACGCAACACATGTAATCTTACGAAAATTGCTCGAAATGACCTCCTCTATGATCAATACAAAGCTGTGTTCTTCTGTTCATATTTAATACTGCGTCGCGAATGCTTTCTGCCTTAATCGACTAAAACGTTTCCAAACTTTTCACTTTAACAAAATTTATATTTTGAGCTGGTCTATCATAAACTTTATCATTCACGGGTCCCCATAAGAAATAGTCAAGAGGATTCAAGCAAGGAGATCGGGCTGACCATCGCACGGGTCCGTTAGTTCCAATCCATGTATGGCGAATCGTTCGTTTATATATTCTCTAACAATTCGCGCATTATGTGGACCTGCACCATCCTGTTGATACCGCTTCAAGTTTCTTAATATTGCCAGGGGTAAATTATTTAACAATTCCTCAAACTCATTTTGGAGGAAACTTAAATATGTCGGACCATTCAAACGACCATAGACCACACCAAACATTAACAGAAAAACTAATTTGTGGCCTCACTTCCTACACTAATAGATATGCATAGAAATGTTTACTTTTTCTGTTGAACATTCCACTATTCGTGAATAAAGTTTCATCTGACCATAGTATTTTAGTAGCGAAAGCAGCATCTTCCGTCGGTTGAATTTGAAACCACTGACAAAATTCGATTCTTCTTTGATCGTCTTCTGGAAGTAAGTTTTGTACGGGTTGAAATTTAAAGTCGTGATATTTATGTTTTTGGAAAAATTTTTGGACTCCGGATTTTGACAAATTGCAATCTCTAACAATTTTCCGTTGATTTGTTTTAGGATTAATATGGACTTGTACCAAAACATTAATTACATTTGAATTACCATTCACGACACGGGTTCCTCTTAAATTCTGCAATGTTCCAAACTGTTCTAGATGAACAAACAAACACTGGAAAATATTTCTATTTGGTTGCCGCCTTTCGGGATGGAGATCCTTCGAGACTTCGCGCTGCGTACACAGAGTTTCGATTATTGCGCAAGTAATTATTATACATATCGAGGCGTTCACGTACCGAGTATCTTACCATTCTTCCGTGTTGTCAAGTTAATAAATAATAACAATAGGGATGCAAATGCAAATTATTCGCATTAATAATTGTACAGCAGCACGTTAAAGGTATGACATTAGTAACTTGACAACGCAATTTCATTTATGTCATTGTCACCTTGACGACAGATTCCAATAAAAAATTGTAAAAAGCGGTTTTTGGATAAAATATTGCTTTTCCAACCATGTGCGTTTTAGCATTAAAAAGCTAGTGTTTTTCTCTATTTAATACTATAAAAAGTCAATATGGCGTCAAAAATCAAAGTGGACTGTTACTATGCGATACTAGACATCAATAAAAAAATCTGATACTACCATGAAAAGAGCATTTATTAAAAATCTAAGTAGCCCAAGTTTCATAAAAATCGGATTAATAGTTTTTTTGCTGTGAATATTTTTTAAATAGGTATACATGTTTTCAGTTTTTTTAGGATATTTCGAAAACCTTGACATCTAGGTTTAATTTCAGTATGGCTTTAAAATGCTCAACTTTTTCGCCATTTGATCAACTCTGTCTCGTTGCAATTAGGAGATCCCAATGGTGTACATTGTAAGAGTGACCACCCCGTATATTAAAAGCTAGTTCGCAAAGTTATCGGTTTTTATGGAGGACTACAGCAATCCAGAACTGGTCGATGTGAATGTGGCATATGGAGCAGTTCCGTGGTCCACTAGGTGACCCGATCTAACACCTATAGATTTATTTGCTCTTTTTTTTGGCTCTTAAGAAGTCTGGCGTAAGACACGCCAGTGGGAACAGACTGATAGCCAAAGCGACTGCAGCATTTAAAGTAGTTCAATCACATTTTCGGTTGATATCGCAGAAATCCTGCAGTAGGTCATCAAGTTCCGAGACAACATTTTTAATAATTGCTAGAAGAGTTCTTGTGTTGAGAAAAACTTGAGTTCCCGATATTGAACTAAAATTCACTAAAACTCGGAATATCATATGTTTGCACGTAAGCGTCTTAAAGCGTTCTGAGGTATAGGAAGACGTTTCGATACTTGGACTCTTTTAAAAAAAATATACGATCAATTCCTAGAAAAATGATCGAAAAGTTCTCCATACGTGTTCGATAAGGCAAATTTACTGCATTAATATTTAATTTGTCACTTTCGTTTTCAGGTAACGTGTCTATGGGACTACAGAAAGGAAAATTTGTAAAAAATCCAAATGCCCCAGATGACAGATTTTATTTCATTTTAATTACCATATCGCTGTTCAGTTTGGTGCAGATGTTGCCCTTTTTGTTTTTCAGTACTGCAAATGAGGTAAATACTGGATTTTACTTTAGTTGAAAGGATACATGAAAATTACGCTAAATGTGCATAACATACGGTCTGATAAGTTCGTGGAGTAGACACACTTTCTTTTGATTAAAGCTGTAAAACTGAGAAACTAATACCTACTAGTATTCACTAGCAGAATTAGAGCTTTTATTTGGTTGACAATTGTAACAATATAACCGTTTGTAAATACAAAGTGTCCCACCGGGAAACGCCGCGATCAATATCTGGCAAACTGTAATTAGCAGAAATTTGAAAATTGGCA